ATATATATATATGTATACGTGTATTTTCTTAAGTAAAATTGTATACAGTATCGAGAGGAGATTTGTATTTGTCAACTTTGATGTTTCATGGATATCAAGATGGAATCATGAAGGTGATTATCTTGAATTAACGTTATGTATTGAGTTTAAACTTTGTTAACTCTACCACCAAAAGGGAACGGGGGGCTGTTTTCCCCATGGTGTGTGTTTGTCAGCAAGATTTCTCGAAAACGGTTGAATGGATTTGGATGAAAGTTGGTATACGTTTGGACTATGACTCAACTTAGAAGTGATTAGTTTTTAGAGGTCACGAAAGCCCAAAAAATCCTTATATGTTAATATGGGGGCCGATTTTTCACACTATTTTTGCTCTATAACTCAGTCACAACAGATTTGATTTTGATGAAACTTGGTGGACATATGTATAATATTATTCCTCATTGTACTGCCAAAAATGGGCCGTGTCCGTTGATAACGGCTCACGTACGGAGACATTTTCGTATTTTTTAAGAGCCAAATGTGATTAACGCTGTGTGGCAGAAGGTACATGCTCTACCGAGTGTCCCTCTATATGTTAAGTACTGTGACTTTATGATAGAAGGAAGCTGAGATGTGGAAAATATATTCGTATCCAAAACGAATTTTCTTTGTAGGAGGAAGGAATGAAATGAGTTTACGTAAGTAGAAGAGATGGAATCTTAATTAAATGTACTAGAAAAAACTGACAAGAATGTTCATGCAGAGTATGTGCGTAAGTTTTATATTAAAGTAGTTAGCAAGAACAAAAATAACACGTGCAGGACAGATACCAGTAAAAAAGTAAAGAACCATACTAGATGAATATGAACAAAAGGTCTAGTATAAGTAGTGCTAAAGACTCTTGTAACTTATACGTGTTTTTAATATATATTACCAGAAAATTACACTTTATTTGAGGATTATACTAAAATGATGTACAAAAATTTTTGCGAAGTGATATTAAAAGGAGTAAGTAACTACAAATTCGGAGGAATCAAGGCGGATAATGTTCTGCCTGAGACACTACTTGTGTCACAATTTTCAGTGATGGAATTTCAAAGTTTGGTTAGATATGAGTAATAAAATGGATGTGATATAAAAAGGGATGCTAATGAGCATAAGTCATTTTCAAGGGCTGTTCTCAAATCCAAATTTCATAACACTGATGCATTTCATGAAAGAATGTTCTTATATCCATTAGACAAACACATTGTGTTAACTAACCAGTCTTATCCAAGCACTGCATAGCAATAAAAACTTAAAAATATAGTAATAGGACTGGAACATAATTTGCAATAAGTCTCAGTTTCTCGGCAAATTTTTGTTTTTAACAAGTCCCTCAGGAGCCAAGGGGTGTCATTACACTACTATTTGCTGAATGTTAAAAGTAAGTTCAATCCAGAAATTCTCAAAGTGGGTGATTTTGGATGTATCTTTTCGAGGTAAGTTTTAGTTTGTTAAATGATAAATTTTTAAGTGAAATACGACATCCTCAAGTCTTCATACTAGCTAGTACTAAGGTCTGTCCGCTGAGAGTAAATACAGTATATATCAATAAAGCCATATTCTCAGCATCATTAATTAAGAAGTTGCCAACCTTTTATGCTTCTGCTATCACCTTTTTATGTTTAGCTTTCGATTGAGATACGAACGATTTCACCAGCGATTCGGTAGGGAATGTCGAAGCATCACGATAGTCAGCAGTAGGACGAGCAGACAGGAACACAGGCAAATAATATTGTACTCAGCTTGCTGCACAATATCTACCAAGGTGGTTCTAAACGGTTCCTGAATACCGCTGTGTGTCATTTGGAGATTTCCATGCTTCTTTTGCTTGACCGTTATGCTTGTGATGCGCTGAAGGATTTCAGTTACCTTACCACTTCAAATCACTTTTCGCAGCCCCAACCTAAAAGAGAACAGGAAATTCCTTCTTTTTAGCCAATAAAAATGTCCAAAAAATTTCAGCTCAAATTAAGAAAAACCGGATTGGGTAGTTTTTATGTTTTCAACAATAATGTCCCCACGGGCTCGTGAGAGGCCTGTTAATATTTAATAAATAACCAACCATAACAAGTTAAGATGGTTTTGTATATAGAAGAATCAATAAATGTTGTATTTTAATTTAATCTTATGAGACTCTGATTTACATTTTATCACGTAAATCTACTAAAGTTGGTGATCTGTTCATTATTTCCACTACCTCCTTTTTTCCTGTTACTTAAATAACTGCTTCTTACCCTACTAAAGTCCACTGGTGGGACAGCAGTAAGTCTTCGGATTTACAATTTTAAAATCGGGGGTTCAATTCCCCTCGGTGTACACAGTAGATAGCCCGATGTGGCTTTGCTATAAGAAAAGCACACACAAATACAATCCTAACGCAAAATAAAATTCACTATCTTCATTTAAGTATTGTTGCGTCAGCAGTCACATGA